CATATCATGAGACACGAAGGACAAATTGACTCTTTCAGCTCCCTTCCCATCATTCTGATAGCAGTAGATGGTGCTTTTCATTACTGTAAAACAGGCAACTAAATTTGAAGGACAAATATCAGATGCTCCTGAAACCAGTCTAGAAGCATTCTCATGGTCATGAAGAATCTCTGAGATAGGAAAAGTAGGTGAGAATTATTTGTCCCCAGTAAATTGTTCCTGCTGGACAAAGTAAGGCTTCTGTGTCACCTGTAATTCAAAAGCAATACCCAACACCAAAAAACCCCACATACTGTAGAGTTGCAAAGTATTGTTTGGGGGTTTAGCTGGGGTTTTTCTTGTGGGGGTGGGTGTTTTCAGGTTTTTGGAGGGTTTATTTGTTTTAAGTGGGTTTTAAAGTCTCACTGTCACTTACTGAATCAAATGCAACCCATTACCAGTATCTTCTAGATTTGTGGTTACAATACACATCTAGCAATGGAAATTCTGCACATTTTCTGACCAAGCTGAGATAAAATGCTTAATTCAATTAGATTTACACTAATATGTTCTATTGGCTAAAAGAATATGTACAAAATGAAAATAATTCAAAGCATAGCTGGCTTTTTCACTTCTCTCTTCTAAACACAAGAGTAATTCTGTTCTACAGAAACTTCAGGAAAATAAAAACCCAGTATTTGGCTTTTAACAACCAAGCAGCTTCTTCAGTGACTTTCCTAAGAGGGAAATGGAATTCAATATTTAATTGTAAGTGGGAATATCGTGGTTTTACACAATACTTAGTCTCATTTTTTAAAATTAATGATCAAATTTTGATGAATTTCCTTGTTTTAATTACTGGAAAGACCAAGCTTAAAAATTCAGAATGTAGAAACCCTGCAGGGTATTCCCTTTGCCTGCCTTCTGACACCACACATGCCCTGGCTGTCCACTGCAGCCTTCATCTCAGTTTCAACACAATTTTATAGTTTCATTCCTGCAAGAATTTATGGAAGGACAGACAACCTCAGCAAAACAGACTGAGATACTGTCAAGGGTGAACTGAATGTTAGAACATACACAAAGTATATATACTGAACAAGTATGAATTTGTCTTCAAATGTCTTTTGGATTTATTTGTTCTTACCAAAGCAAGCAATATTTCCATCCAGTCCTATATATTTTAAGTCATATTTGGCAGCTTCATTCTCTATAGGCTCATTTTCAGACTTGTCATCCATGGCAAATATTTCTTTTTGCCTAAATTCTGCATTGTCATCAAAGTTTATCTTGGCATCAAAACAAACAACTAAAGAAAAAAAAAAATAAAACAACATATAGGAATTTAAGAGATTTCAGTTAGACAGAGCTTCTGAAATATTACAACTACTACAGAGAGAGGGAGAAGGCTCCTTGGGGACTGATGCTGCTTCCAGTATCTGATAAGCTAAGTTCTAGCACTGAGTCCCATAGAAAGGGCAAGTTTTCCTTAAATCCTCTATTGAGAAAAGGTAGAACAAGCATCTCCCCTTTTGCTGTGTTTGCTTTAAACATTGTTCCCCTAAGTTAGGAAGGCAGTCTTGATGACTTGGACAGGTGGCCTGCAGTAATTTCATAAGAGAGCCTACTTTCAATATTTTGAAAGTATGACAGATAGAACAGGTAACAGGCTAGCAATCCAAAGCCATGCTTGATAATGCACTCATTTATAGTTTAGCAATACAAATTATAGCTTTCCTTAGATATATTTTTAATTTAATAATGCTATTAGCTATATACATTTCCCTAAAGATTTCCATAAAAACAACTTCAAGCCAACGTACGTTAAAAATGAAAAGATGAGTTTTAAATAAAAAACATTTTTAAAGTAAATACAAATTTTTTTTGTCAATATCAACATACGTGTTTATAGAATTGTAAAAAAATATGGTTGTAAAAACAGATTACAATGCAGCTAAACCTGACTACATTAAACAATAGATACAAAGGACTAGCCAGTAGATAAAACATTCACATAAAAACACCAGTAGCAGAAATGCATGTAGAGTGAACTGGTTATTTGCCTATTTACTGACTCATTATTTCTCTGGGTTTGCACAGGCAAACACCTCATTAGTTTAAAATGTTCTGAGTAAATGTAGGACTATATACTTCTCATTTCACTATTTAAGTAACTTGACTTGTACTATATCCAGATTATAATTACTAACTGGAGTATAATTCATTTCTCAATGCAAACCAGTCAGATTTAAGTGCTTTTAAAATCTGCATCCAGAAAGTCTAATAGTTTTTCTTTCTGCTGTGTTTTGATTCCGGCTGCCACTGAAACACGTACGTGGTTCATGTGCACGTGCTCCCCAGCATTGTACACATCTCTGCAACTAGAGGTCAAGTACAATTAAGAAGACAATTTTTAGTCTTTGATACAGATATCCATCAATTAAAGTAACTAATTACACAATCTTTTTGGTGGGCAAAACCTTTTTTTTTTTTATATAAAATTACTTAGGCAAAAGTATCTAAGCAAACAGCAAACAAAACATTTACACAAACAGAAGAGTCTCAGTTTTATGTCTTGATTTGCACTGGGCTTCCTTGGAAGTTTTGGTTTTATGATGTTGCTGGGGGTTTTGTGTCGGGGGATTTTTTGTTGTTGTTGTTTGGTTTTCATTGTGGCTTTTTGTGTTTGTTTTTAATACATTTGATTTGTAACCAATACCAGATTAAATTAAAATAGTATCAAAACTCATTCCAGTGACTGCAATTTCAGAAACCTATTCATGAGTGTTTGTGTATAATAAACCTCTCTTGGAAGAGTCTAGATCTTACCCAATCAACCATCACGTGGGAACCTGCCAAAGGGAGAAATGTCTGAAGTTCATAATACACTTTTACTGTACTAGAACTACTTTAATTTTTCTTAACAATGAGCTAAGACCAGTGCTATTTTTCTTCTTCAAGCTTTCAGTTCCTTAAATTGCCAAAACAACCCAAAGCAAGAATAAAACTGCTGTTTCAGAGCTCTGTTTACCTTAGACATGAGCATTCTCAATGTCACATTAATAAAATCTCATTCCTACAGAACATTCATCTTTAGCAATGGCCACGCTGAACAAAGTATCAGGAAAAGCACCTATTAATATTTATCAAATAATTTTCATCATCAAAAGCACATTGTTACATGCATGATAGATTATACAAATGATTTTTTCTTCTAAACAATTATCAAAGAAAGCTCCAAGACTTATAGTCGTGGAGTACTTCTGGTGTTTTTGCTAGCAGTGTAGGATTTTTGTCATCTGCCAATTCAACAGCTTACACTGAGAGCAAACAAACCAAAAACCCCAAAAGAAATTGGCAGTTACAGGCTTCTGACCCAACAGTCAGAAAATTTGCTACAAAATTACACAGAAATACATACAACAATGTATTTTGTAATGGAAATTCACACAAGTGAAAAACACAGTACACAGCAAGAAATAAATCCATTTTAACCATTATTTCCACACAAATAACGGTCTCCATAAAGAGGCTTGTATTTTATCATTAGAAATAACTGCATTAAGCTACTCAAATGTTCTTCCATTTGTTTTATCTTTATTCTTCTTTGAGACATTTTAGATGGAGAAACTGCTAGCAAAAAAAAAGAAACAAGCACAGGAAGATTTCTGAGTATGTCTGATGGCTTTCACAGCTTGAAACCCACTGTGTTTATTCTCCTCAGCTTCCTGGATGTGACACACATGGGGGAAAAGCCTCCTACCATCCCTCAAATCAAGCCCTCCTCACTAAATATGCACAGCCACTCCAGAAAAGCCAAGCTGGTAACTTATCCAAATAAGTTCATTTTTTCCACAGTGACACCTTTTAGTAATCCAACAAGGATGTAAAGTACCAGCATGATTCCTTATGTACCTTCCATACTGCCCTGTGATGTTAAGGTATTGTGGTCAATTTTTCTACTAATAAAATAATTTCAACAAACTGTTGAGGAAGGAAATGTTGGTTTTCAAGTATCAGTGACCTTTAATCCACAAAATAAACCTGGTAAGTACATCAGTCATAGCAGATAAACATATCAATTAACTTGCTTTGAATTAAACATCATAATCTGCATGAGAGTTCTAGCAGGTTTTGTTGCACCTACTTCAAAGGTCCCATTCACTTCAAAAGGTCAGAAGTATCCTGTGTTGCACATTGCTAGACCTTAAAAAATCCAGACCATTTCATTTTACAAGGCCCCATTCCATGCTTCTGCTTTAGCTCCACTGTGCAATACAATGAAAACGTCCTTCTCACCTCACTCCCAACTGGTTTTAATGAGGCTGAGGGATCTAAATGGAGGGGATAAACAAGTATTGGGCTCTGAAGGCAAATTCTGCATTTACAATACAGCCTACAATAGAACTACAAAGGTCAACAGGAGGGCTTTTAGTTTCTCTCCTGCAGTACACATTTCACAAATTGTGTAAGAACCAAGGAGCCAGAGTTAATTGCTAAGAATTTGACTTACATTTATTAAGCTGAGTGAGGTTTACACAATACATAAACTATGAATTCAATGCGCTCGTTATTATGGGACTTCAAAGGAGTGGGAAATCTGAGCACACAGTGCTGAGAAAGATTCTCAAATAAAGAGTTAAGGCATTTGGTGGAAATCCTTCTTGTGAGGTAAATTGTTTGGAGAATTAAAGGATTCTGGTGGCAAGAACATCAACCCCACCCTCCCATGAAGAAATTTGGAAAAGGTCTGCTATCAAAACAGAATTCATACATTTAAGGCATAGATATGTTCCTCTAGCTTAGTCTAACCTGAAAACAACTCATTATGTAAAAAAAAGATTGATGCCACCTTTGATAATTTTTATCACTGTCTCTGAATTATCCTCAGATACTTTAGTAGAGAAGATGTTCCTGTTTGTATTTGGTTTTAAAATGTCACTTTACAAATACATCATTTTAGTGTCTCAGAGCCTGTTTTATAAGAAAGAGCATCACCTTTTATGGATGCATTAATAAAGTAAGGTGGGGCAGGATTTAGACTCATAGAATCCTTTAGGCTGGA